CAGTGTTTATGGGCCCTACAGGTAAAGGGGGTAAACAGTGTTTTTGGCCCCTGCAGGTACTCCCGGGGGGTGATGTCTCCCGGCCGCCATGTCCGGACCCGTCTGTATTTCACCAGTGAGAGCCACGTGCACTCCCTGCTCAGCATCTTCAGATACGGAGGCCTGCTGGACGTAAGTAGCCTGTTTCCAGCCCTGGGAGGAGCCTAAAGCCATCAGTAACTTAGCCCAGCAGCTTCTGGTGGATGCTACAGTGGGGTAAATAAGTATTTGAGCCCTTGCTGATTTTGCAGGTTTGCCCACTTACAAAGCATGCTTATTTTTCCTCATCAGATGGTTATCAATTTTTATAAATTCATATGATGTGATTTTCTGGAATTTTCTTTGGGATTCTGTCTTTCACTGTAAGTGGGCAAACCGGCAAAATCAGCAAGGGGTCAAATACTTATTTCCCCCACTGTAACTTAGCCCAGACGCTTCTGGTGGATGCTATCTTAACCCAGCAGCTTCTGGTGGATGCTAACTTAGCCCAGCAGCTTCTGGTGGATGCTAACTTAACCCAACAGCTTCTGGTGGATGCTAACTTAGCCCAACAGCTTCTGGTGGATGCTAACTTAGCCCAGCAGCTTCTGGAACAGCTTTTGTTGGAAGCTAGCTTAGCCCAGCAGCTTCTGGAACAGCTTTTGTTGGAAGCTAGCTTAGCCCAGCAGCTACTAAGCCTCTGCTGTGCCCCCTTCAGGAGGAGAAGGACCAGCAGTGGAAGCGGGCCATGGACTACCTCAGTGCCGTTTCTGAGCTCAACTACATGACGCAGATCGTCATCATGCTCTACGAGGACAACAACAAGGTGCGTTCCTATTGGCTGCTGCAACTCCACTTGCTTCTGCATTTGGCTTTTTAATACAGTCATTTGTAAAAAATATTTTACATTATTTTAATTATTTTGAGTTATTTTTTAACGATTACTATTTTATTTTTGTTTTTAATTCTATTTATTACATTTCCAAATATTTTACATTATTTTATTTTTTTTTACATTTATAATTTTTCTGTCTGAACTAATTATTACTTATTTATTTTGAAATAATTTTACATTGTTTACTATAAAAAAACCTGATTTGTTTTTAATAATTAACATTATTATTTTTTTGCTTCTATATTTTATATTTTATATGTATACTATATTTACAATTGTATTTTTGTTTCTAATTCTATTAATTACATTTACAAATATTTTACATTCTTTAGTTATATTTTGTTACATTTTTTTGTGTCTTCTAATCTAATTTGTACATTTATTTGAAAACAATTCATTGACATTACATTTTTTCTTCATATTTTATATGCATTTGTTTGTTAATAATTTACATTATTATTTCATCTATATTTTACATTTATTACTTATTTGCATTTACATTTTTTATCATTCTATTGATTAAATTTACACATATTCTACATTTATATTTAATTCTATATATTTTTTTTTGTGTATAATCTAATTATTACATTTATTTTAAAATAATTGAACATTATTTAAATTGATTTACATTACATTTGTTCTTCATATTTTTACATTGATTTCTTTTTTAATCATTTACATGATTATATTTTGCCTCTATAGTTTACATTTATTACTTGATAATTAATTTCATTTACAAACATTTTAAATTTTTTGGTTTTGTTGCAGGACCTTACCTCTGAGGAGCGTTTCCACGTGGAGCTGCACTTCAGCCCCGGCGTGAAAGGCGTGGAGGAGGAGGAGAACGCGCCCACCGGGTTCGGCTTCAGGCCGGCGTCTGCCGAGGTGGCCCGCCAGGTAAGGCCCTGCCCACTCAGGCCCCGCCCACCCCAGGCCCCGCCCCCACCGCCTCTCTGACCCTCTCAGAACGGGCAGAAGCAGGCCGACCCCGGCTCCCTGGAGGACCTGACCCGGGACGAGCCCGACCGCACCCCGCCGCTCTCTGAGCCAATCACCATCCAGAGGAGGTCCCCGCTCATCCGCAGCCACAAGACCGGATCCATGGAGGTGAGGGCCGGGGGGGGTGGATCCATGGAGGTGAGGGGCACTAACCACCAAAATTCAGACTCATTTCTCAATTAGGTGACTAATCTTGACAGGATATGTTTTTATGAAGGGCAAAATATAAGCTAAGTTAATTTAAGTTTACGTGTATTTAAGCTAAATTCATTTAAGTTTACGTGTATTTAAGCTAAGTTAAATTAAGTTAACATGTATTTAAGCTAAGTTCATTTAAGTTTACGTGTATTTAAGATCAGTGTTGGGGAGTAACGGATTACATGTAACGACGTTACGTAATTTAATTACAAAAAAAGAGTAACTGTAATTCGTTACAGTTACAATGAGAAAATATGTAATTCAGTTACAGTTACTTCCGAAAATATTAAGAATTACAAATTTAGTTACATTTTTTAAAAAATATAAAGAAAAACCTTTGCAAAATATGCAACTCACTGATAGACGATGCGTATTACGACAAACGTTTATCGATGTCTATGACCTAGCCTAGCCTAGCCTACCTAGCCTACCCAACTGCTCTTTTTCCCGGACATGTCCTACATTTCAGACTAGGGTTGTCAAAAGTATCGATTCTTAAAAAAGTATAGATACTAAAATGTTGTATCCGGATACGACTGACATGCCGTTGCTGCACCCCTTGTCTCCGATTTATTTATGTATTTATTTACGTTTTTTATGATCATTAACGTGACGTTAGCTTTGAACTGCTAGCTGCGGCCAATAGCTAATAATAACATGCTAAAATTAATCATGGGTTAATACTCATTAAAACCTTAAAGTAATCAAAGAGTAATCAAAAGTAATTAGTTACATTACTTTTTAAAAGTAATCGAAAAAGTTACACTACAATTACATTTTAAACAAGGTAACTTGTAACTGTAACGGATTACATTTTTAAAGTAACTTACCCAACACTGTTTAAGATGAGTTCATTTAAGTTTACATGTATTTAAGCTAAGTTAATTTAAGTTGGAATGTATTTAAGCTAAGTTCATTTAAGTTTACGTGTATTTAAGCTACGTTAATTTAAGTTTATGTGTATTTAAGCTAAATTCATTTAAGTTTACGTGTCTTTAAGCTAAATTCATTTAAGTTTACATGTATTTAATTTAAATTGAATTAAGTTAACATGTATTTAAGATAAGTTCATTTAAGTTTACGTGTCTTTAAGCTAAGTTCATTTAAGTTTACATGTATTTAAGCTAAGTTCATTTAAATTTACATGTATTTAAGCTAAGTTCAGTTTCATGTACTGTATTTATTTTTTAATCCTGTATTTTTTTATTCATATTAATGATAAAAAAACATCTATCTTTAGTCTATTTTATTTTATTATTTCATTAAGCGTGCTCTGAGTTTGGCCCCCCAGATTTAGAGCCTCCTTCTGCCCCCCCCAGGTGCTGTCGGAGACGTCCTCCTCCAAAGCCGGCAGCTACCGGCTATTCTCCTTCTGCTCGCGCCAGTCTCCCGAGATGAAGCAGAGCGGACTAGGTAGGAGTGGCCCCAACACCACGTTACCACGGCAACGGGGTGGGGGGCTCGGGGTCCAGCTCCAGCCACCTCCCTCTGTTTTTGGGACATTTAAAACAGTTTTTGGGGGCTTTTTAAGCCATTTTGCGGCGTTTAAAATTGTGTTTTGGGGCTTTTAAAACAGTTTTTGGGGATTTTAATGCTGTTTTGGGGGGATTTGAAAGCTTTTTTGGGGATTTTAAATCAGTTTTTTGGTATTTTAAAGCCATTTTGAAGGTTTTTAAAGCTGTTTTGGGGGATTTTAAAGCTGTTTCTGGGAGTTTAGAATTGTGTTTTGGGGCTTTTTAAAGCTGTTTTGGGGGGTTTTAAAGCTGTTTTGGGGGCTTTAAAACAGTTTTTGGGGATTTTAATGCTGTTTTGGGGGGATTTGAAACAGTTTTTTGGCATTTTAAAGCCGTTTTTAGGGTTTTAAAGCTGTTTTTTCGGATTTTAAATCTGTTTTGAGTGTTACAGTGGCAATGGGTCGGTGCTGTGGGGGTTGGGGGGGGTCGCTCGGTCCAGCTCCAGCCTCCTGCAGTCAGACACCGGCCCCTCTAGTCTCTCCCTCTCTGCCCTCCCCGGGCCTCGCTCGCCCACTGCTGGGACGGGGG